GCACCCCCTTCACACACACACACACACACACACAAAATCAAGCATTCATGAATACACTCCCTCATACGTACATGCATGCACCACAGACGTGACCATGGTTGATGAGGTCACGATACTTGCTCTCCCAGCCCTTCCTCCTAGTTCCCATATTACGAAAGAGAGCATACCTCTCTTGTGCCACTGAAACCCACCATCCCTAAAAAGGACTCCGGAGGAGAATCAGTCTGCTGACTTGTATTTCTCACTTAATAAGTAATGGCTAAGTATATCTAGTATTTCCCAGGTGGTGATCTCACTGAGGAAATACACTGAATATACATCGAAGATAATTGATGATAGGATCTTATTTTAAGCAACGTGCTAAACAGGGTGCCGGGTATAGTGGAAAATTGTTCCTTGTCCACCAAAACTCCCTTTTCCCTCACTCAGAGCCCGGCCTCCGAAGACTCTATTTTCCCTGTTCTCTACTGTGTCCACGTGAGTAAGGCAGCGCTGTGTCAGTGACGTGGGAGTAAAGGTGAGGAGCAGAGTCTTCTCCTGCAGTAGAGATGAGCCACATTCCCCGGCCAGGCCCCAGTGTGGACAGTGACCCCAGAGAACGGACACGGGGAGCAACCACATGGAAATCTCCCTGAACAACCTGCTGGTGTCGCGGGGCCAGCTTTGGATGGGAGAGAAAAGACAGTTTAAACCACTTTATCTTGGCATTTCTTTTAAAAGCTTTACTTTTTTCTTAAGACTCATTTTAATTTTTAAGTGGTGTGCGTCTGTGTGTGTGTGTGTGTGTGTGTGTGTGTGTGTGTGTGTGTGTGTGTGTGTGTGTGTACACGCACACATCTGAATGTTTAAGTGCAGGTAGCCGAGGAGGCTAGAATAGGGTGTCGGATTCCTTGGAGCTGGAGTTACAGGCAGTTGTGAGACACCTTGATGTAGGTCCTAGGAACCAAAGTCGGGTCCCCTTCAAGTGCAGGATATGCCCTTAATCACCGAGTTATCTTTCCAGCCTCCTTGGACTTTATCTTAATAATACAAACATGATTTAACCCTCACAACAATCTTCTGTATTTTACGACAGACTAACCACGTAGCCTAGGCGATCCTTTAACTTCCTATGTTCCTCTAGCTTGGCTGAAAACAGCCCCTCCTGCCTCGTGAGTGCTGGAATCACAAGGATGCCCACCACAGCCCTCAACTCTTATGACTTAGGCCACTAAAGCTGGCTGTAATTTGCTAGGCCGGGCCGTTACTAAGTGTCGGAGCACCAGGTTCTGTGTGACTGCAGAGCCCGTGGAGGCACTAACTAGACAGAGCCTTCCCTAAAGCACACGCCACGACACCCTGAGAAGCTGCTGTCCCTCCCTCAACTGAGAGGGTTTTGGTTTTGTTTTTGTTTGTTTTTTGTTTGTTTGTTTTTTCTTTTGATTTTCCGAGACAGCATTTCTCTGTGTAACCCTAGCTGTCCTGGAACTCACTCCGTAGACCAGGCTGGCCTCAAACTCAGAGATCCGCCTGCCTCTGCCTCCTGAGTGCTGGGATTAAAGGTGTGCGCCACCACCGCCCTATGACAGTTTTGTTTAGGGCTGAAAAGAAGCAACAGTGACAAATCGGCTTTTTTTTTTTTTTTAAATGCAAGCTGTCAAAATAAAAATGAAACAACCCGTTTCTTTTCTCAAGAGGAACTTCCACGGGCGGACTTCTAACCACAGCTGTCTAAAACAGCATTGCACAGGGGTTCTAACTCAGAGCAGAGCGCTTAGCTCATATGTGCAAAGCTCTGGGTTCAATACCCATAGTTACAAGATAAAGTACAAAACAGGAGTGTGTTGCCCGGAGCTTTGAGAACAAGCACATCATAGTCTTTGAGTCTCACATAAATGAGAATACAGAGCCAAGAACCTTTGTAAATGGACCATCCCAATAGGAAATGGCCTTCTTTTCGCCAAACATGAGTCTTGATTATACTATTACTTAACAGCGTCCCCAACTCTCACATACCTAAATTTGATCAGTGGCCTTAGAATCACTTGAGACTGTCCTCTCTGCATGAAGTATCGGG